TCTATAAATGTTTGAGAGAATTCACCAGTGAAGTCATCTGAATCTCTAGCTTTCTTTGTGGGAAATTTTTAATTATAAATTTAATTTTGGTAATTGATATGAGACAATTCAAATTCTCCAGTTTTTCTTGGGTCAGTTTTGGTAATTTTTATCTGTCAGGGAATCGGTCCAGTTATCTAAGTTGCCAGATTTATTGCCATAAAGTTTTTCATAATGTTTCCTTATTATCCTCTTAAAATGTTTGAAAGATAATGATAACCCCTCCTTTATCTTTTTTTTTTTTTTTTTACACAGAAGTTACTCTTTAATTTTTGCTTCAAGAAGCAGGGATCAGTGACTACAGATCTCATACTATTAAGAATTCGTAGAAGGGAAACTTCATAATTAAATTGAAAGATTATTTTTAAATTTTTATTGAAGTATAGTTGATTTACAATGTTGTGTTAGTTTCAGGTATATAGAAAATGATAGATATATATATATACTCTTTTTCAGATTCTTCTCCATTATAGGTTATTACAAGATATTGAGTATAGCTCCCTGTGCTTTCCTTTAATCTTGACATTGGTAATTTGTATCTTAATGTCCTTAGCTATAAGTTTATCAGTTGTATTTGAAAAGGCCAGTATTTTGCTTTCTGTGATTTTCTCTGTTCATCTTGTATTTCACTGATATCTGCTCTTTATAATTTTCTTCCTTCTATTTATATTGGGTTTACGTTGCTCTTCTTTTTCTGGTTTCTTAAGATGAGAATTTAGATAATTACTTTTAGATCTTTTTGTCTTTTCTAATATAAACACTTAAAGTGCTAAACTGTCCCCTAAGTGCTGCTTTACCTGCATGACACAAAGTTTGACACACTGTATCTTCATTATTGTTCAGGGAAAAATATTTTCTAATTCCCCCTATGATTTCTTCTTCGATTCATGAGTTATTTAGAAGTATGCTGCTTAGGGACTTCCCTGGTGGTCCAGCAGTTAAGACTTCACCTTCCAATGCCGGGGATGCAGGTTCGATTCCTGGTCGGGGAGCTAGGAACCCACATGCCTCAGGGCCAAAGGACCAAAACATAAAACAGAAGCAATACTGTAGCACAGTATTGCTTTAAAAGTGGTCCACATTAAAAAATCTTAAAAAAAAAAAAAAGTATGTTGCTTAATTCCAAGTATTTGAGGATTTCCTAGTGATATTATTCTCAGTTGATCTCTATTTAATTCTTTTTTTTTGGTATCAGAAAACATATCTTGTATGATTTTAATTTTTAAAATTCTGTTGTGACTTGTTTTATGGCCCAGTACTTAATCTATCTTAATGAACATCGCATGTACACTTGGAAAGAACATGTATTTTGTGGTTGTTGGGGGTAGTGTTCTATAAATATCAATTAGGTCAGAATGGTTGATGGTGTTGTTTGTATCTTCTATATCTTTGCTGATATTTTATGTAGGTGTTCTATCAATTACTTAGAGAGGGTTACTGAAATCTTCATCTGTGATTGTGGAATTGTCTGTTTCTCCCTCTAATCTGTCCATTTCTGCTTTTTAAAAATACATTTATGATTTTTAAAACTTCCTGATGAATTGACCTTTTTTTAAATCACTGTGCAATGTAATAATCTCACCAACATTGGTATTATTTTCCCAACATCCTTTAGTTCTCCTTTATAATTACTTTAAATTCTCCATAATACCACTTAGGTTTGAACTTTAAAGGATGCAGACCTATAAATATTCTTTCCACTTGTACTAAAATGCCATTATCTCCTCCCAGCTCTTGCACACTGAAGATCCTAGACAGCTCTAAATTAATATTAAAGGAAGAATTGTTTAGTAAACTGTGTGTATGTTGGCAAAATTTTTATTAACCTTTCTTACAGTTGCTGGGTTTTGTGATATTCCACACAGGCAGAGATTATTTGGGGCAAGTGGCTAACTACAGAATATTAAGTGGAGGGATCAATGCTGAGTGATTTTTTAAATGATCTATTTCAAGAGATACATCAGATTTCAAGTTGATCTCCAGGAAGTGGAGGGCTGAAAGTTAGTATGCATCGACACTAAAATTCAAGTAAATGACAACTAAAGAACCACACACAGATTTCAATTTTTTATAGAAGAATTTAAAACATAGTCATTATTTCATTTCAGAGTAAATGAGGCAGAAACATTTCAGTTCTGAAACTATGACAAAGCATTTAGCAATATGACATTTACCCCTAGATGTTTACTATTATGAAGCTTTGATTTTCTAAATGTATTTGAATCATACAAATATCTACATGCTTTTTTCCTCTCAGTTATTTGGGAAACTTCAAAAAGGGTAGTCACACCCAAAGCTTTTTAAGCATTTGGCTAGAATTTAATCTGAATAAACTGTGTTGTGAGCAAGTATAGAAAAACATTTATGGGCTTAAACAGCTCAGTGATCCCTACTGGTCCATAACTGTTCTAAATATCTATAATTTTCAAAAGTTGTGTCAATGTACCTAAGAAAACTGTAAAGACAAAATAAAACATTGGGACTTGAGCACCTACTGTGGTTAACTACCCAAACCCACGGGGGCATTTTGGTAGAGAGCCACCTACAGAGCAAGCAAACCCAAACATGCACAGAGGGCCCACAAAGTAGCAGCTGATTCCTCACAGTTATTAAATTTAATCTTCATAAAAGCACTATGGTATTGTTGCATTCCTTTTGCAGATGTAGAACCAGGCTTTGAAAGATTAAGCGGCTCACCAAATGCGACATGGTCATAAGTGGTAGCTATGGGATTTGAACCTAGATCTCCTGACACTAGATGTGGTATTTGCTCTACTTTGCCAGAGAAACCTACAGATCAGGAGTTGGCAACCTTTTTCTGTAAAGGGCCAGATCCTTTAAGCTTTGCAAACTATATGGTCTCTTAACTCCGTTCTTGTAGTAAGTAAACAGTCATAGATAATATGTAAGTAAATGAGTCTAGCTGTGTTCCAATAAAACTATTTACAAAAACAGGTGGTGGACTGGTCCAGGGGTTGTGGCCCAGGGGTTTTGGCCCAGGGGTTGTGGTTTTCTGATCCCTGCTACAGATTAAAACATACAAGCAAACCATAAAAGAATTAGGCTCTAAAGTTTCTCATCTACTGACTTTCAGAGACATTTTCATTACTGCTCCCTTACTCTACTCAATGACACACAATAATTATGATTTCACTATAAATTCATCTTCCAGTTCCTAGGTCTTCCACAGTGCCAACTTTCCTCTCTCTAACACAAATTCTAGCTTTGATGATGATCACTTTACGGGAGTGATCAAAACCTTTTTTTTTAAACAGTGAGGACCAATGAAGGAAAACAGATTTTTTCCCCCTCTGCTCAGTAATAATACCTTTACTGGATCCCAAAATGAAAAAACAATTTCCTGCTTTACTGAATACATTTAAATGCTAATGAAAAGTTGGTACTGCTTTTTAGTTATCAAAATGCTAACATGGAGCAACAGAGTCATCTTTCTAATCTTCCATGTGCTTTAGGATTCAAAACATGTCTTTTTTTATTTTTTTTTTAGATGTTGGGGGTAGGAGTTTATTAATTAATTTATTTATTTTTGGCTGTGCTGGGTCTTCGTTTCTGTGTGAGGGCTTTCTCTAGTTGTGGCAAGCAGGGCCACTCTTCATTGCGGTGCACGGGCCTCTCACTATTGCGGCCTCCCTTGTTGCGGAGCACAGGCTCCAGATGCGCAGGCTCAGTAGTTGTGGCTCACAGGCCTAGTTGCTCCGCAACATGTGGGATCCTCCCAGACCAGGGCTCGAACCCGTGTCCCCTGCATTAGCAGGCAGATTCTCAACCACTGCGCCACCAGGGAAGCCCAAAACATGTCTTCTTATACATTATTTCATTTATCTTTGAAGCAAACTCTGAAGTAGGTGTCATTATGGAGAAACTGATATTTACAGAGGTTAAGCGACTCACCCAGAGTCACAACTCCTTCTCTTCTGTGTAACACTAAAGAAGCAAGTACTGTGCTGGGTGCAAGGAAGGAGATAGATAAAATCACACTTCCTTGCCTTTCTCCTTATCCTCTTTGTTGATCCCTGGCCTCCACGAAAACCCACATACCTAGATAAGCAATTCTGAAAAGATTCTTCTCCTGGTGGTTGCCCAGGTAGTTTTTTATTCCCTTCAGGCCTCTGCCTTGTTTTTTTTTTTTTTTTTTTTTTTTTTTTTTTTT